CATGTTTCGACGTTACAACGTCATCCTAAAACTAATGTTGGTTACTATTGAGTGTTACTTTCTTACGTGCTGTAGTTTGTTGATGTGTATTGACAAAAAGTCATGATAGCTAATCAAAAACACCTTAGGTGGGACAAAGGTGCGGCCAAAAAAAAGGATTCAGTGCGCAACTTAAAGAAATGAAGTCAAAATTGGCGACCAAACTGATACCTACACTTATAGAATTTATAAGAACTTTACAGCAAATATTCATTCATTAGTTAGCTAGGCTGTGTATTCTGTTTTATCCACAATCATGCCCCAAGTTGAACAAACAACGCGGCCTGGCCTAATTTCTTTAATATCAAAATGAAGGATGCAACTGGACTCACAAAAAATATCTCAATTCAGTCAAACATGAGACTTCTTAGAACATTAGCCTCTACTGATGTAAGTCACGGACTTCTTAGAACATTAGTCTCTACTGATGTAAGTCACGAATTCCTTAGAACATTAGCCTCTACTGATGCAAGTCACGGACTTCTCAGAACATTAGCCTCTACTGATGTAAGTCATGGACTTCTTAGAACATTAGTCTCTACTGATGTAAGTCACGAACTTCTTAGAACATTAGCCTCTACTGATGTAAGTCACAAACTTCTTAGAACATTAGCCTCTACTGATGCAAGTCACGGACTTCGACAACTGGAGAATATGGCAGTCCAACAAGATGAGATATTATTAACAGTTACAACACAATCATTTTCAAAACATCTGTCACCAGGAAATAACAGCTGCCATTGTATATAACTACAGAACCAACGAGTCTGTCCACCAGGAAATAATAGCTGCCAATGTAGATAACTACAGAACCAAGGAGTCTGTCCACCAGGAAATAACAGCTGCCATTGGAGATCATAGTCGACTTTTTGCCATCATAAGTCAGCGTGAGTCAGGGTGAGTCAGTGCTTAATAATAAGATAGCAGAGAGTGGGCCAGTACTTAATTATAAGACACATAGGGTGAGTCAGTACCTTATAATGATAGGGCATTGTAAAGTCAGTACTTAACAATAAGGAAGTGTAGAGTGTGTCAGTACATATATAGTATAACATAGGGTGTGTCAATACATAATTATGTAGCTTAGGGTTCTTAGCTATTAAGTTAAGGTTCCATTCTTGAGTTTTATAAGAAGTTTAGTTCAATCTTTTAAAGACGGGGGCAAATTATATTTAAACTGTGCAGCACATCTGTTTATGTGTGTGTGTTGTCGTTTTAGCGCTAAGCCACACATCGGATTATCTGTGCTGTCCACCGCGGGGGAATCTAATCTCGGATTTTAGCGTTGTAAGTCCATAAACTTACCTCTGACCCACCAGAAGACTTTCCTCTTTGCCTTAAAACTTTATTCTGAAAAGAAAAACGCGTCGTCTAATAATACGTGTTGTCATTTTTCATTTCTTCGAAACGTGTGGATGGGATTGTTTACATTCACGACTGATTGTCATCTTTGTCTAATCTGTATTGGTCAAGCAATAAGGCACACGCTATAACTCTCTATGTTGAATACATACACTTCATTCTGTCCTATGAAGTTAGAATTTTCTGAAGAAACGAATATTCACTTGAATTCTAAATGTTCAACACCCAACAGTTTCAGTGTTGAAATATGTCAAAAAGTAAACGTTTTGTATCCTGTAGTTTTAAAAAAAAAGGAACGAAACGAATTAAATTGGCCCGGCATGGCCAGGTGGTTAAGGCACTCGACTCGCAATCTGAGGGTCGCGGGTTCGAATTCCTGTCACACCAAACATGCTCGCCCTTTCAGCCTTGGGAGCGTTATAATGTGACGGTCAATCCCACTATTCGTTGGTAAAAGAGTAGCCCAAGAGTTGGCGGTGGGTGGTGATGACTAG